CCGCTGTTGGATACATGGCAAAGTATGTCAAAGGGTAGAAGGCACGGTTAGAGTTCATCTAAAGTATGTCAGAATATAACCGACCAAATCGCACCTTTGATTCTCGGACCTAACATTTTACATGGAAAATCAATCATCATAACAATATTACTGTTCAGGATTTGATTGTACTATAAAAACCATAGAATGCTGCGAATCTTCAATATGTTTTATATATATATATATATATATGTGTAATACATGTAATAATATTTGTATATAAACACTAATAACATATATTTTATATGCATATAAAATATTAATATATACATGTAATTATACAATATTATTACTACATTATTTTCTTCAAAGTTTTAAAAAAAACTTGTATAAAATTAAGTCAAGTCGCTTTTATACGAGTTTTACTTGTTTAATATGAAAATCTCATCCAACGTTGCATGAATATTAAGTAGCTACATTTAACGCTAAGTACACGTTGCGTATAAATATTCTGCAGAAAAATCCCTTCGTGGACAGCAGCGGGTGTTAAAAAGAGTTTGGAGATAAAACTGAAATCTGAGTAATACCATGACGAGTCACGGCTCCGATTATATTCAAACTTCCTGTATACAGAGATCCCCGTAATGAATCCTTATCCAAAGACGTGCTTACGCATGGCGGATGTGGCACCGTTCGCCGTGATTCTTACATAAATGCATGCGCGTATATTTATTATACCGAATATTCTCGTGATATGTCATATATTTATGATGCAATATGTTATTGATGGATTTGTTGAAAATTGCACACTTTACTCTCTGTGTTACAGATCGAAAAGGAGACTTGGCTTCACATCTGGGTCGGTGAGGAATAATCGTGGGACAAAGATCGCAATTTGTATAATTGCATAATTGAGTGCACAGAACATGCGTATATACATATATGCATGTTCTGCATAGAAGAGATCGATATATGGAAATTATAGCAATATTGCAATCGTGTGCAATTATTTTTTCTATTACATCTATCACTGCTACTATATCAGTGTAGTTTTCTCTATTTTTTGCAAATGTGCACAGGATATTTTTCCATTGAGTAGCACTATAGTGATAGTTTGCACGGTAAAGCGAGAAAAATGTACGCGATCGGAAACAGAATAATGCTTGTTGAGCGGATTATTCGCGGCGCAACGGTATTATAGCTGCAACTTGTTGGGTCTCCAGTAGAAGCGAAGTTTCCGTATTTGTTCGTTCCGTATACGGCGGCCGTAATGATCGATTCGCCTCCGGTTATCAGTTTTCCTATGGAAATTGACCTCGCCGATGCGCATGTACTTTTCTGCGTAAATAAGAGATTTCCATTTGAGGAATAACTTTCCGTTCGCATGAAAAGCGATATCATCGTGCCGGAAGTTTCATTGCTTTCCAAAACATAAATGACGATTTACTTCCTCGATAAACAATGCAACGAAGAATGAAAATTGTCGATAGCTTCATTTCAATTATCGTTATTCTCCGATAACAAGAATCTCGTGCAGTTTGATTCCTCCTAAAGCATAGACGTGCAATTTTAATGAAATGATATTCTTTTTTTATATTTTACGAATGTGCGAACAGCTCGTAAATGGAAATTTTTAACTATTACAAAAAAGTCTCATTCTATCCGTTTGAAAGACAAGAAAAACCGATAAACATGGATAAAATTCAAATATAAGACGCCCGGAATTTATACAATTGAATGATAATCAAATAAAATTTTTTAAATATTAGATAACATTTTGTGTGCGTGCGTGGGTGGGTGTGTGTGTGTGTGTGTGTGTGTGTGTGTGTGTGTGTGTGTGTGTGTGTGTGTGTGTGTGTGTGTGTGTGTGTGTGTGAATATATTATTCATTTACGATTTTTCAATTTATTAACGATGTTTCTTTTGTTCTGCTGCGTGCAAATGAATCGCGTGATCGGCGATCGAGTTCCACAATTAATGAACAAAGACGATTTGTGTACATCATAAACGCAGTGTCAGGCGCCGACGTGCTTCCAGGCGCCCGACGTTGTTTCGTCACTCTAAAGATAAGCTTCTTGAAAACTGCACACGCTCACGAATCGAAGCGAAGGATGTACCCCAGAGATCGGTTACGCAATTAATGTCCGCATCCTGCACGCTCCATTTATGTTCCAAGCAACACAAGTAATAGCATTTTCTTAGGCTTAGCACTAATAAGTTTGTTGACTGCAAAAATAAATATTGAGTGGAAAGAAAGAAAGTAAAGAAAATAACCCGCGCGACTAAAATAACACAAAGACTCTTCGGAAGATTTGTTCTCAGTTGTTTGTAATTCGAATTGTTAATCCTTTGACATTTAAGAAACGCGAATACCTTCAAAATAATTAATACATTAATTAATCTGACATTAAGAGAAAAATATACGCGAGCTTCTAACATCCATATAAAAAATACATATTTATAGCTTTTACTTTTTTTAGCATTAGAGTGCGATATAGTAGACTCCTGGCGATGATTAATCTTCATCGGAAGCGTCAAGCGCCGACGATGAAACTCCGCACAATGAGCTCTCGGGTGGCGCGTGTGAGCGGAGCGATGGCAGGGATAAAGTGCCACGATATCACGGGAGGAAGGTTAAAGGTCAGACGTCCAATTCACGTACAGGTCACAGAGTCGCCCGAGGACACACGTGAACTCGCGTGTACCTGCCATAGTACTGTCGATATTTTTTCTGATATTGTGTATGAAAAAAAAATTCAACTCATCGGCGATGAGCATGCGTCCGGAACTTGTCAAAACCGATAAATGTGTTGCTATCTTTTTATTATAAAAATCCTCATCGATATTTTACATCTTGCGTGCATGTAGAAAAATTAAATAAAAATTTAAAAAAATAGTTTATATTTTATATTTTCAGAGATATGGTTGATTTGTATGAGTTGTTTTTTTATGATCTTTTCTTGAAAATCTCTAAAATCTCTAAAATAAATGTTGTATAACAAACGGTAAACATAAAAAGTAAACTACATTGTCATATCAAATTCTATAGTATGGTGTGTTATTTTAATTCTATTAAATACATAGAAAAATATCGGTGGAAAAAATTCCATAATTGGCGGAGAGTCCGTGTTGAGTCCGCCGGAGGTGAATAAATTTTATAATTAACGTTTCGAAATAACAGCTCGTGTGCGAAACGAATGTTGCACACTGCGAAATTTCAAAGTTCAATATGGCAGGAAACAATATGCATGGTTATTACAAGCGATGTAACCATTGGTAAACTATCTCGAGTAAAGCAAAATTCGGTATAGAATGCGTCGATTAATACAAAGCTCGAATACAAATTGTATTCGAGTAAGCCGGGCGCGTAATTGAAAGCCGAATCTGATTGATATTGAATGCTAAACCAGTTCAATCCAACAGACCATATAGAATCTACGCCCTTCTGTTACAATCACACAAGTCGAATATGTTTAATGTAACGCTAGTATTTCTTACAAATTTTTACGGATTTAAAAAATTAATAATATTAAACTAGATTAAAAAAAAATCTTTTATGAATCGAGAATAAAAAATTAGAAAATAGATATAATTTTTTTAAGTCACCTAAATTTACATTAAAAGCTACATTAAAAGCTACATTACACGCGTTAAGAGAATTTCTTTTAATAAATATTTAGTATAATGGAATTAACGACGTAACAGATAATCTGTATATAAAAAAAAAGAAAAATTAATGAAAGATAATGTTCAAAAAATATAATTTTGCTATAAATGCTAACACAGATAGTTTAAAATATTTTTTTAATTGTTTTTTAACATAAATTATCATCATCTTAATATGGTTTAATCGACTATCAGCAAATGGTGTCACGCAATTTGTCGGTAAAACAGTTTAGAAGGTGGTTACAGATGGCAGCTCGAATCAGAAACTTAATTTTCTATCCATACAGTGCTGCAGTGTAATTAGAGATGCAAACCAGCGTTTCTAACAACTTCGTTATGCTTGAATAAAGTTCACCTGTAATATCAGAACATTCCGCGCAACTCTGCAATTAATGTTGAGACTACAAACGAAACTAAACCTGGCTTACGTGATAGTCGTTTCACATTTTCAGGATGATTTAATAAAAACGCACGAAGCTATCCGAAAGGAAATATCACGTACTGCAATAGCATTCCATTTTTCTTTTACAGAAAAAATTGTAACATTGTTTCAATTATTTATTATTCACGTTTTTCATTTCCTATCTAGACTTATAATTATTAACGTACAAATCTATCTTTAGAAAAGATTCTGTACAAAATAAAAAAATGAATAATAAAATGTAAAACATTTAAATTTTATCTCGATTAGCGACGTCTCTTTCATTCGGCTCAAAATTTATAAATTGTTGCAAAAACCCTGTAAACGTTCAAAGATCGTATTCCAAAGAAATATCTCGGAGATCCACGATTTGCGAAAAAAAAGCAGCTTTCATCAAAAAGTTCGTGATCGTCAGTCCCGCACGTAGGAAAGTTTGCCCTAATTTCGGCACGTCGAGAATCGACCGCCGCTGGAAACAAAATAAAGCGAGCTAAGTATGGGAGCGTGACGGGGGATTCCAAAACTCTTCTGAACCTGAGCATAATACCGAGAGAGAAACTATCGATTAACTGTCCGCCACGTTCTGTCTCGCGAGCGTCCGGAGCGCATTGTCTTTTCGCCGCGCGATATCGCCGCTTATACCGCACTTCGCATAGCATGGCACTCTGAGAATATCTCGTAAACGCTCGCCACGACTGTTTCGCGTTCCGCGGTAAACCAACCAGAAAAAAAATTACGCTTGCTCGCCCAGTTTTGATTGAAACCGATTGCGAGTGTGCGTGTGCGCAGAAATGTTCTTTCGTAAAACTGAATAAATAAAGCATTCCTTTGTGGCTAAACTTTCTCGAAAGAGTTAACGATCCAGGCCGCATTCTCTCCTATCGTTTCTTCTTCCATCTCACTTATCGCAAATACGAAGCAAAGATTTACTCACGACAATCATCTCGGAGGGCTCGAGGACGAAGCATTCGTTGGGTCTCCTGGCGCTGCCGCCCGTCCGCTTCCCGAAGCTGCAACAGCAATAAAAAAACATTTTTCTATTAAAAAATTGATCGCGTTATGTAGATATCATCACGTATTCTCTATATGTGATGATTCTCTAGAGATTTTTAGATTTTTACTTGTGCAATTTCATAATAGGATGTATATAAATATCTTGCGGTAAAATATTTTTATATAAATAAATCTGGAAGTAATTTCACAAATCTCAATGTCAAGCGTGACTTATTTGCTTCTAAAAAAAAAATTCTCTAATATAAAAAGAGAATGAAGTATATTAGAGCATAGGATTAAAAAAATTTTCTTTAATTCATTTGTTTGAGTCGTTAACATAATTACAAATCGACCATACGAACGCTGTTGTGCGTGTAACAAATCAAATTTTGTAGTGAATAATTATACTTGACAGCGATTTCTACAATTTGATAAGTCGCACGCATAACCGCGCCCCAGTCTCGTACTGGTCATCGATTTGTAACTACAGAATAAAGTATTACTCGTATTATACCTACTTATTCTCTTGAATGTAAAAGTAGCAGTATTTTGTTAAGAGTCAACAGTCTGGCATCTTTTGAATATCGTATCTCATAGAGATGAAAAAAAAAGGGGAGACTAAAATTTATCATGTGAACCCCTCAATTTCGTATCGTTTCAAACGACAATACGAGGGTGTTCGCACGCTCGTGCAAACAACTATTATTCCGTGACGCCATTCTACGCCCCGGTATTAACTTCTACGACCAATATTGGGCGCTGCGACGCCATCAACAGATGTTCCCCATTGTCGAAAAGGGCACTCCTCAAATTAGATATAAAACCGTAATGGCTCAACCAATTTTCGGCGATATAGGAAAATCTGCGGTTATATGAAATGGGAGCTACCGAAATGTGACTGCCCAAATCGAAATCATTTTTCTTAATAAAAATTATTGTAGCATGACATCAAACCTTATATCAACTTACGTTAGATAGTAGATCAAGAGATAAAATCTTTCCTTGAAAATAATCGTAAATTATTCAATTTATTATTAAAGGAGTAATAAAAAATTTAATATTAAAAGGAGTTACATAATTTTATCTAATATAACAGACTATGAAATATATAATATCAATTTTCTATTCACGTTTAGTAGAGAAATATAATATAAAATAAGAACAAAATAAAATTCGCACAAATTAAAGAACATCGTTGCATCGTTGATAAAAAATTGTCTTTCCCCGTTCTCGGTGTATTTTGCTTTTTCACATCTGGAGATATTCATCACGGAAAGTCCTCTTATAAATTTAACGGTGACGACCGTGAATCGAACGTCAATGTTCGACCGACCGAGAATCGGAAAACCAAGATGGTGGGTAAAGGGAAGGAGGAAAGAGAGGTTGCAGAAGGCCGTAAGGTTGTTGAAGGCTGTTGACCCGCGTGTTATCCCGCTCCTCCCTCGACTTAAACACACAAGCAAAGTCGCGATGCGTAACGCACGCGTAACGCATGCGTAACGCATTGCTTGCCTGTGTGTGTGTTCGTATATCGCAGAAAATTAAATTCGACGTGGATGACGCTCCTCGGCTTCTCCGTCTCTTAAGCCCATCGTGGGTTAACCCTGTAAACGTCGCATTGCTCGTTCCGCTTCCTCAGGATTATAATTATTTCGTTAGGCATCTAGGTCATCCGTTTTCTGCACGTGCGCCGACATTTCCGCCTCTACTTAGAGACAGAACTATCGATCTTGCCGAAAATATTTATCTAATTAATTTTGATTACGCGATTGCGCGCTAATTATTATTCAGTCGATTGAACAAAAGATGATTTTCATAAATTGAAAAGCTAGAGAATGAATTTAAATTGCACGAAAGAATATAAACGAAATAGTTTTAATCCTTAAAGTAGGTATATCTAATTTTACATTATACTGTTTATATTTTAAAATTTTATTGGGAAATAAATTTTGACATTTTGACATTCGCATATTCATTCCGCTCATCAGAGACGGTTGATAAATACGATAAATCTCTTTTCAGTTTTATTTTCTATAAATTTATAAGAATAATAAATGTTTCGTGGAAAAAAAAAATATACACACACACGTGTGTATATTTTTTCCACGAAACATTTATTATTCTTATAAATTGTGTACAGATAGATAAAGCGACAGATCGGAAATAACTATCTATACTATGATTTGATATACACAGCATACGCACACAATCGAAAAAGAGAACCGATGGTAACCAAATACAGAAAGCGAAATTTAACAGAAGCAGTACAGGTATTTCCAATGGTTTAGCGAGCGATTCACTATGTACCTTTAATTTGTTTTCCGGCAACGCTTTTGTAACGGAAGCAATCAAAGCGCGCGTGCATCGCTTCGAATGTCGCGTCCGCTTTATTCCACAACAGCGTGTGAAGCCTCGGCACAAACTTTTGTCCAGTCGTGTCTTTCTGTTCCCATTTTCCCGAAATACACCCGCAGGGGACGTTCGTTATAATTTGCTTTGATCTTAACAAAGACCAATGGCGTAGCCAAGCGATTCATTATCAATGATCTTGATTACCTAAGCGCTCTCTCTCTCTCTCTCTCTCTCTCTCTCTCTCTCTCTCTCGCTCTCGCTCTTTCTCCCCTTCTCATTTTCACTCCCCGACAACGCGACGTCCATTTCGCGAAATTATCCGTGCTATTTGACAACATTAGCCACGTGGATCCACTCAACGAAATGAAATATTTCTATGACGTCGTTAGAGCTATTATCCTTCTCTCATTATCCTTTTTTTTTATCTTATTCATCATACTATTAGATTCCTCTTTCACGCAGCCGAAAGCGCGAAATTGTCCATCAACAACTTTCGCTAGAGATAAGTTAAATATCTTTTTATAATGTAGCAACATCTGACATGTATTATTTAAAAATATGACTTTGAGCACAAAAGCAATTTTAAACAATAGGAATTTTTTCACGCAAATTTAATATTATCGCTAAATAATTTTAAACTGTAGATTTATATCTACATTTGAGAGAGAGAGAGAGAGAAGTTATTTGTAGTTGACAGTAGAAACCTAGCCTAGATTGTGGGTTTTGAGCTATTTACTTATCAACTTACAGAAACAAAAATAACAAGTAATTCAAACACACATCACTTATGTAAAACACTTAGATAATTCGTAATCATGTAAATTATAATAATAAAAAAAATAACTTTACATACGCAAATAAGATTATACTAATAACAATTGCTTTCGTAGCAGCAAGCAATAACATAGCTTATATATTAATAGCTAAAGATATATCAATCAACTAATAATATAGAAGAACTATTATTATTCTTCATAATTATCTTAATATACATTCAAGTTACTTGCGACTCTCAATTACTTTGCCTTTAATTTTCCGTGCAATCCAAGAGAATTTATAATAAGTATACCTACTCTGCTGTCACATCGAAATTAAAACAATAATAACAATAAAAGTACTCTCTAAATAAATTTTGGAGTAAGATTTACTCCAAAGGAACGAAATCTCTTTTTCTTTAAAAGAAGTGAGATTTCTTTCCTTTAGAGTCTTACTCCAAAAAAATGAAATCTTACTCCAAAAAGAAGAAGCGAAAATCTGTCACTCTTTTTCGATAGTGGCAATATTTTCACTCTTTTGAAGTGAGTTTCATTCCAGGAAATTTATTGAGTAATTTTCGCGATTTCCTCAACGTAATCCTGGACTCACCACACGGAAAACCTTCTTCTGGGAAATGCGGGTGGTGGTGGTGGCTGAGCTCGATGAGTCCTGTCGACGGACTCACTCCTGAGGGCTTGCACCGCCTTAGGCACAGCCCTGAAAGGCTCCTGACAGGCCTTCGTGACTACGCCGCCGTTCCCAACGCCATCGTTGAAATTGCCCATGCCACCGCCACCGCCGCCACCACCATGGAAGCTGTTCCATCTCCTCACTGGGCCCCTGTTAGCGCTGTGATAGCCGCCATTATGGCCACCTGGACCGCGAAGTTGACTGGTATGCTTGTGCATCCTCTCACTGATCTTTTCGCCGGGACGCACTAGGTTCGTCCATCGTCTATCTCGTGATTATATGCGTTTGCACAAATCGACTATATCCTCGATGCCTTTTTACCGTCTTCTCTTCAGCCGTCTAGGAAATCTTGAGCGTACGGCGAGAATTCGAAATAAATGCTTCTGTCCTCAAAATGGATTACATCGGCTTGGTAGTTCTATAAGTAGCGTTCTAAAGTAAATCGATATTCTTTAGATATTACGTTTAAATACGAAGATCAACGAACCAGCCATCGATCGTTAATTTAAAAGATTAATTACGCCGTGTTGTATCTAAAATTTTGGACCATTACATGCTTCTTCGAAGCATTTATTATAATATATAATTCTACGGTAGTTAAAATATTGTTCTTCTCAATTTGTAAAAATGTTCCATAAACATTCTGTGAAGATGAATTGAAAAAAAATCACACATATCCCCTATACATAAAGCACAAACAATTCTCACAAGTATAATAGAGAGCGCTGTTATAAAGAAGAAGTACTGCACAATAATTTTTGTTTTCCCATGGCGCGCATACATGATATTTGGATCAAGTCTGCGACGAGGTCGAATAGAGTCAAGTGATTCTTAGTAGCTATTTCGTACGTGGCTCGCATACTTTTATTATACGACCTATGGGATTCGATCGACTTGAAGACTAATGGCGTCGCAGTGTCGTCTACCGTTTCTTTTGACCTTATCAGGTCTATACGTTTGTGCGGAAACGCGATAACAGAAAGAAGGATTTACACCGGCGATAAAATTCCGGTGTAAAAGGGAATAGAACATCGCAGACACACGATAGCTGCAGGCTATCGTATCAAAGTGTGATAAACGCGATGCATCTCTTTTCTCAAATTTCGAAAACATTGAAAGTACTGTGTTGCAACGTTTATTATTACAAAGTAAGTAAGTAAAATGTCTATTTTTTTCTCATTGTGATAATTATTAGAAACTGCAACTGTGACTCTTGCTT